AAGCTGCATCAAACGGAGATGAGGAGAAATGGCAGCCCTCGACCTGAGTGAATTTTGAAAATCCCTTCCACCATAAACAACCTAGGGCTTGGTACACGGTGGAGGCTCAGACATATTTTTAGCAAGTTCTGTTGTCTATTATACTCTTGAAAGAGTGCCACCCTCACTGAGGATTCTTTATGGAGTACAAGAGCTTCTATAAATCTCTGAGAGCTGTTAGAGAAGATGCCTGATGTTCCTCCAGGAAGAATCAGAACCTGCACCTGCAAATGGATGGCTCCGTTGCTTTGAGAATACCGTCAAAATGACTTAGCCCAGCGCTCCATGTCTGTCACGCTTTGCCCCTGCCCACCTCCTCTCCAGCTAAGTCTCTGGCCACATACCTGCTGAATCCAACAATGCAGACTTTCCTTGCTGTTCCTGGAACAATCCGTACCCTTTCCTGCCTCCATATCTTTGTTCACGCTGTTCCCTTTGTCTAGACCAGTGGTTCTCAACCTTCTGGCCCTTTAAATACAGCTCCTCATGTTGTGACCCAACCATAAAATTATTTTCGTTGCTACTTCATAACTGCAATGTTGCTACTGTTATGAATCGTAATGTAAATATCTGATATGCAGGATGGTCTTAGGCGACCCCTGTGAAAGGGTCGTTCGACCGCCAAAGGGGGCGCGACCCACAGGTTGAGAACCACTGGTCTAGCCTGTCCTTCCCCACCTGCTCCACCTGGTGACCCCCTACTCATCCTTCAAGTGTCACCCTTCAAAGGTCCCCTCTTTCAGGAAGCTTTTATGACCTCCCCTGAAAGAATCAGGGGCTTCCTCTGGTGGGCACGTGTTATACTTTATCTTCTATGTGACAGACACCCTACAGTGACCCCTGCAAAGAGCCACATCCTTGTACAATCCCCACCCCTTCAGTTTGGGCAGAACCAGTGATTTGCTTCTAACCAACAGTGTGTGGCAAAGGTGACAGACGGACACCCCCTTGATTAGGTTCCCTGATATGGCTAAGGCGATGGGATGGCCCTCCTAAGATTGCGTTGTGTCATAAAAGACTCCATTCTAGCAGACCGCAGAGTGAGGCTGCCTCGCTGGCTCTGAAGAAGCCAGCTGTCATGTGTGAGCTTCATGGCCTAAAACCGTGAGCAGCTCTAGGATCAGAGAGAGGCCCCCAGACAACAGCCAGCAAAAAAGGCGAGGCCATCAGTCCCTGTGTCGCAACAGATGAACTCTGCCACCAACTGAATGAGCTTAGAAATGGATCCTTCCCTAGTCAAGCCTTCAGATGAAAACACCACCCTGCCTACACCTTGATGGTAGTCTTGTGAGACACTGAGCAGAGGAACCAGCTAAACCTGGCCGGGGCTCTTGACCCCTGGAAACTGTGAGATGATAGATGTGTGTTGTTTAAGCCATCCGGTTTACAGTAATTTGTAACACAGCGATCGCTAATCTCTCTGCTACAACATATAGCCAGTGTTATTCTTCATGTGATATTCCCAACTAGCGGGGAGCCATGAGAAAAAGGAAGAGGTTCCGCTCTTTCAGCCCTCACACAATGCCTGCCTGGCACATAGTAGGTGCACTTACTACATGTTTTTTGAATGACTAAATGAATGTGACTTTTAAGGTTCCACCTGACTTTAAAAAACACACACACTCTCTAATTCTAGGATGTTGAAATTTCATTCACTGTTACCTTCATGGAAGGTCAATGAAAATATCAAATTTCCAAGGAATAGAGAAGAATGCAGAGAGCAAGCATTCTTCTGTAACAGTTATAGATCCTTTGACACAATTTGCCAAGCAGTTGGGCACACTGGGCCCTGTAAATGTAATAATGGTGTCTGCCGAATGTCTTTGAAAATGGTCAAAGTCAAGGGCAAAATCCCAAAACCCGCTGAAAGGCAGCGAGGACCATTAGCTGCTATTTGAAACCCAGAGGCAAAGAGACATTATGAGCCTCAAACCAGTTAGAGGAAGAGCCATCAGTCAACCGTGGAGCCAGGGACAGAATTCGAAATCGCAATTTTCCCAGAACCCCCAGAAAACGCTTCGTGCCTCTCCCCGCCCCCCATTGTTCTCCCCTCCCCTCCCTCCTCCTCTGCCATAGAAACAAATACACAATCCTTAGGGCCAGGAAGGCCTGCAGATCCCTGCCTCCAAGGCCCTCGCCGTATAGGTGGGAAGACTGAGGCTCAGAGACAGGACTTGGCCAGCAGATCCAGACGGTCCTGAGAACAGCATTCTTTTTCAGAATCCCCCGAAGACTAAAGTTAAAAATAAAAGCGAAACAAAGCAGAAAGCTTCCTTGAGAATCAGTGAGCAAATGAGGCAATTAACCAGAAATCCAGGCACCTCACTATTAAAACAAAAAGTTTTACCAGGTCTAGACAGATATGCAAAGCTAAGGAGTCATTTTCGCAAAGCAATTCTTACCGAGGCCCAGGTCCCAGACACAGTGCATTACCTTCATCTTCATTAGCCTTCCCACCATTCCTGTTTAATAGCCCTTTTTACAATGCCTTTTTTTTTTTTAATATATTTTATTGATTTTTCACAGAGAGGAAGGGAGAGAGATAGAGAGTTAGAAACATCGATGAGAGAGAAACTTCCCACCATTCCTGTTTAATAGCCCTTTTTACAATGCCTTTTTTTTTTTTTTTTATGAATGAAGAAACTGAGGCGCAGAGAGGTGACACAATTCTTCCAGGGTTACATAACCAGGAATTATTTAACCAAGTCTGCCTGTGGTCACTCTGCCGTGATGCCCAAAGGAGTGGGGAGTGAGGCTCAGAGAAGGGGATGCCAGCCGGGGTGCCTTGGCTGGGACCCTCATGTCAGAGCTCAGGACGCCCCCATCCAGCCACATTTGACGCACACAACACAACAGCTCCGGACTATCTGCTCCGGGAGGGCAGGGACTGTGGTGAATCCCCAGAGCATGGCCTGGCAGATGGAAGGAGGAGCTAAGTGCGAATGATGAATGATCAAAGGGAGTGGATGCCTGAATGGATGTCCCAGTTAACCATGATGTGTGCACGGCAAGGATATTTTCGCTGGGAGCTCCTCTAATCTGATGTGTGTGTAGTGAGTGTTCCAGTGTAACCAATAAATAATCCCCCTGATTAGCGAAGCTCTTCCAGACTTCCTCGCAATCGGATTACAGCACAGCTGGCCTGATAAGGTCACTTCCACTGCTCTGTCTCTTTCCAGCCTACAATTGGCTCCCTGATATTTATTATTGCAATTGGTATAATTTGCTATTTCCCCAAAGCTGTGTGAGAGAAGTCGGCTTCAATCCCATCCGTCTTCATACAAGATGCAAGGAGAGTGTGCGGTGGGTTGGTAATGTGGGTGGTTAACAGCACAGACGTTGGGGGAACCGCCTCACAGCCCAGACACTGTTTCCTCATCTGTAAAGTGGGGGTAAAAATAATATCCGTTTCACAGGATGGTTGTGAGGATTATAAGAATCGATGCCTATAAAGTGCTTAGCTCTCTGTGAGTTTTCCTTTACGCTGCTAATGAGAGAGCCTGGCACAGGCACCACTGGCTCCCGGTGGGACTGGGGATCAGATAGTGACCTCCTCTGGCCCTTGATTGCCCTATCTGTAACACAGTGGGAGAGAGGGGGAACTAGGATTCGTTCAACAAGTAATTACAGAGCCCACACTATGTGGTCATCCTAGGGCAGAGCACCAGACACAGACTTAAAGGAGCGCTGGCCCTGCTCTGGAGGGCCTCCCGTGTGGGAGGAACCGAGACCAGCATCGATGCTAAGCACTGTGGGAGTGCCTGGTCCAGGCCAGGCTGCGTGATACACACTTTCCATACATGAGCTTAATCAATATTCATAATCATGCTGAGGACAATGCCACTGTCCCCATCGTATAGGTGAGGGCACTCTGGTGCAACAGCACCCCATGACTGGCTCAAGGTCACACGGGCAGTGAATATCAGAGATGGAATTTGAACCTAGAGATCAACTCTGTGCTCTAAGGCCCTTCTGGCACCAACATGACATGATTCTCCGTGACCAGAAACAGACGCAAGATTTCACCGAGGCCAAGATAAATGCTGCATCTCCCCTCTTCTCCTGATGCTTTTGTGATTTCTTTTTCCTGCCTCTCTCTTATCTCCCTGCATGTTCATCAATATTGCCTGCATTATCTACCAGTCACAGAGGCGAACATTTCCATTTTCTCTGCTGATACCATCCCCACTGACACTGCAGGGAAGAGACAGGCTATGGTCCGGAGCAGAAGTGATAACTCCAGTTGCTAACCTCCTTTCTCTAGGGATCAGAGCTGGAAATGTTCCCCCTGACACCCTCCATCAGATAGCTTAGAGCCTCCTCCTCCTTTATTAAATCCCTGCTCTGGCCCTTGCTTGCCCTATCAGGTTTGGCTCAGTGGATAGAGCGTTGGCCTGGGGCCCAACGGGTCCTAGGTTCTATTCCGGTCAAGGTCACACTCCTTGGTTGCAGGCTCCTCCCCAGCTCAGGCCCTGGTGGGGCTCCTGCAGGAGGCAACCAGTCGATGTGTTTCCCTCTCTCTTCCGCTCTCCCTAAAAGTCATTGGAGAAATATCCCCGGGTGAGGATTAACAACAACAACAAAAATCCCTGCTCATTTCTCCCTGCCACAAAATGCCCACTCACCAACCAGGAATCATTAGTGGGTGGCTGTTTTTTAACCTCAGACATTCCCAGCCCAACTTTCAAGAGAATGTGGTTTTTATACCATTCCCTCTGGGCCTTTTTAGCATCACTGAACCAAACAGTTGGGAGGCTGCACAGCATAGAGGCTGGGTAAGAACTCTGGAGCCAGACTGCCAGGGTTCAACTCCCAACTCTTTGATGAACTACTCCTGTAACCGTGGCGATAGTTATGCCCCCGTGTCTCAGTTTCCTGGCTGTCTTTCCAGGATAATGATTGATGATGATGATGATGATGGAGGAGGTGGTGGTATCTCTCTTTATAGACTAGTTGGGAGGATGGAGTGAGTTAAAATACAAGTGTTTAAAACAGTGTCTGGCACTCAATAAACATTACCGATACTTTTTTATATGTCCCATAGGAAATACATCTCAAATTAAATTAATCTCTATTGCCTTCTAAGGATATATTCCAGTAGATAAGCGGGAGGGGAGAAGCTCCAAATGACTATGGAATAGAAAAAGCTTTTTTTTAAAGATTGCCATAAAGAAGAAATGAATGAACAACTTTACAGCACCCTGCAATGAGTGTGTGTGTGTGTGGGGGGGGGAGGGGTAGTCACAGCGTGCTTTCATTTACTGCACAGGACGTGGCATTTGCAGCTGCCCCGGGGAGACAGGAGGCTTAGAAAGTCCATTTTACAGATGGGAAGGGAATCCCTTTGCCGAGGGTCATTCAACTAGATAAGGGACGTCCTGAGAGTGGAATGGTAGTTTCCTGCCTGCTATCCAATGTGCAACTCCATATGCTGTTTCTTCATTAAAACAAACACATAGTAAACAAACAATAACTGAACGTCCAGCTCAACACAGAACACTTCTGAGTTGAGTCTGATTCACTCTTCCTCCCTCTGTCTTTTCAACGGTTCCAGGGCGTTCAGGTTTTTCCAGGAACATTCACGGGAGGAAGGCATTGGCTTGCCAGAGTTGGGGGACAATAATGAACTATTCAAAGTGACGAAGGGAAGCCTGCAGCATAACACGTTCAGGAGAATAACACTTTCCTTCTGAAGAGGGCAGTATGCCACCAAGGCCAGGTCTGCCCTTGTACTCAGGGCCCCATGGAGGCAGTGCAGCTCTCAGAAGCCCAGGCCTCTTGGATCTCCAAGAGCTTATTTCTGAACGACAAGCCCATCTTCTGACATGAAATAGGATTCTTGAGGTTTGAGCACAGTGACACGCTGCCTCGCATCGAGGGGACACACTGCAAACTGATCCGAAGGTGGTTATACAAGATGGATGGAAGAAACCCCGAGTTCTTTTTCCATGCTCCTGCACTCGGCTACCCTCCCAAATTGGCCTCTATGAAACCAGACAATAGCACGGCACCCCAGGTGGTCTCTGATGTTTGCAGAGGAAAGTCTTTCTTTTTCTGCAAAGACCTGTGTGCAAGGTAGTTCCTGCTGCCTAAAGCAAAATACCTTCTTGCAAACCTCTTTGGCACAGAGATAAAATGTTGGGAATGGGGATCTTAGCTTCCTGGGATGCATTTATCAAGCCAATCACAGTAATTATAATTAGAACACAAACTAAGTGAAAGCTTAGCATGAAATACACTCGCAGTAAACCTGAACTGCATACAATTAAGCCCCGCTGAGTGGCATTTTGAGGTAGGCCATTAATATATTTTGGGGGTGGGGAGCTTGATTTTTTCTTAAATATCTTTTGCTGGTTGCATCAAAGGCTTCAACAACAGGTTAGAAGGAGGGAGAAGGATACACATTATTAACTGCTAAACTTAGAGCTGTAAGACAGATATCCAAAGGTAGCTTAATTGGCTATTTAAGACAACTTGTCAAATATGTTCACTGGGCATTAATTTAATCTGGGTCTGTTTTAGGGCAGTGAAGAAGAGAATTGAGGATTTGGGGGGAACAGTATACCTTCAATTCCTAGCCTCAGCTTTGGGAAAGCACTAAGCTAACAGTGTTGAAAATTCGTCAATGCTTTCCCATTGTATAAAATAGAAAGTTCCAGCCAGGCTGGTGTTGTCCAGTGGTTAAGCAACAACCCAAGAACCAGGAGGTTACGGTTCGATTCCCAGTCAGGGCACATGCCCAGGTTGTGGGCTCAATTCCCCAGTGTGGTCGTGCAGGAGGCAGCCGATCAATGATTCTCTCTCATCATTGATGTTTCTCTCTCCTTCTCCAGGTCATGGTTCGATTCCTGGTCAGGGCACGTGCCTGGACTGTGGGATTGATCCCCAGTGTGGGGCGTGCAGGAGGCAGCCAGTCAGTGATTCTCTTTCATCATTGATGTTTCTACCTCTCTCTCCCTCTCCCTCCCTCTCTGAAATCAAAAAAAACATATTAAAAAAATAAAATAAAACTAAGTGATGCCATCTCTTTGATTGATAACGTCCTTACCATTATCTCCTCCCCTAAACCTGGGATCTCTCGGGCATTATAATACTTATCATATATGGCCTCTCTCCCCTGCTAGACTGTGACCTCCTTGAGGTCAGAGATTACATCTTTTTAATTGGGGTCTCTAGCACCCAGTACACGATCCAGCACAGAATCTTGATGCTTGGAAAATGTTGAAGAGTAAATGAATGAGTGAAAGAATGAATGCTGCATCCTTCTGGGTTCAACTCAAACCCACTTTTTCCAGTGACACTCCATCTTTCCCTCCCCCACATAGAAGTCAGATGACTCTGCAATGGGAACTCCATAATATTTCTAGGGAAAATATAGCTTTCCATCGGAAAATAGCTTAGGAGAGGCAATTAAGTTTGGAGGAAATGTGTGAGAGGTGTGTGTGTGTGTGTGTGTGTGTGTGTGGGCGGGGGAGGGGGCTACTGGCTCCTTAGAAAGTTAGGTTTGAGTAAAAGCACAGGCTTTCACCTGGATTGTACTTAGGGGAGTGGGATGGGAGGTGAGAAGCTATATGCCACATATTTTGTCTTGGGATGGGAAAGCACAGAGTACTTTTCTGCAATCCATTTCATATATATTTAAATTTTTTGAGATGATTGTAGATTTACATGCAGTTGCAAGAAATAATACATCGACATTCCGTTTCCCTTCACCCAGTTTCCCCCAGTGCTGACAAGCTCACAGCCTGAACATTGACATTGATACAATCCGCCCACCTTATTCAGATTTCATCAGTTTTGTACGTATGCATTTGTGTATGCGTGTGCGCGCGCGCGTGTGTTGTGCACACTTTGTATTTCTGAAAGCGGCTTTCTTGCCTGCTGGAGACTGGGCAGGGGTCCAGTCTGATCCATCCTTGCAGAGGAGTTGGCTCCCACAGGCACCGGTATGTGCTAGTATCTATCTTTTGAACGTAGTAGGTTCCAACTACCGTCCACATAAACACTTGAACTTGTATGTCAGTGTGTGCAAGAGGGGAGCGCAACGTTTTAAGGTAGAAAACTGAGCCTGAAGCATTTGGTATTTGAGAGGCAAAAAGTTGGCTATTTTCCGCTACAATTGTGAATTAGCTATTTGGCTAATTGCTCCAAAGCGACCCTAATGCACATGCTTCCATCGCGGAAGAGCGGTTTTGAGGTTCCTCTTCACTCCCTCTGGAAAATTGGAGGGGGGCTCACAGTGCCCGGGGAGCTGCCCCCACCCCTAACCACCCCC